TTTTTTTTTTTTTTTTTTCTGAAACCAGAAAATCTAAGTTCTTTGTTGATACTGTTTGTAAAAAGATGGGTTTTGCTGATAGGAGAGTTATTGTTGATCCTGTGGGTATGAGTGGGGGTCTTATGGTGGGTTGGAGTAGGGAGATTGAATTTCTTCAGGTGCTTCATAGTTATTTCTGCATTCAAATTCAGTTTAAGATTGATCAAGCAACACCTTCAGAATGGATGATCTTTATTTATGGGAGCACTGATAGACAAACCAGAGAGCTGCAGTGGAAGGAGTTAGAGCAAAACAAAGATATGTGGGGGGAAAAATGGTGTATTGGGGGTGATTGGAATGATCTATGCAGTAGTAATGATAAGAGGGGAGGAAGGCAGAGATCTCCTGGTAGCTGTGAAGGGTTCAACAGATTTATAGCTAATATGGGGATGATGGAGGCCAATATGGAGGGGTACCCTTTTATCTGGGGTAACAACAGGCAGGAGGAGGGCTTTGTGGAGGAAAAATTGGACAGGGTTTTTGGGTCCTTCTCTTGGCTGGCAGCTAACTCAGGGGCAAAGGTGTCTACTGTTTTCAAAAGTTCATCTGATCATTTTATGTTACTGCTGGATTCTGGGAACCTAAAGGGGAAGTTTTTTAAAAGGTTTGTTTTTTTATAAAAGATGGCTGAAGATGGAGGGGTGTGCTGAAGAAGTGGGCAAGGCTTGGAGTGAGAATGTTCCTGGGTGTCCTATGATTCAAGTGAAGGAAAATATTAAGAAGACCAGAATGGCTCTTATAAAGTGGAGTAAATTGGCTAAATCTGGGAATGCTCTGAAAATTGAGGAACTCACATTGAAACTTGAACAGATGAGAGCTTTGGGAGGCCAGGTTAACTGGGATGAATGGGAGCATGTCAGGAAGGAACTGGAAGATTCACAACTGAAGGAAGAAGAATTTTAGAGTAAAAAAACCAGATTGCAGTGGCTGAAAGAAGGGGATAGAAACACGAAATTTTTCCATGATATGACTCTGTACAGGAGAAAAAAAATGCTATTTCAAGGCTAGTAGATAATCAGAATATGGTGGCTGACACCCCAGAGCTTATTGAACTGGCCATCATCAATTTTTATAAAAGCCTTTTTGAATCTGAGGGATCTTGGGGAGAGGCTGCAGTTCTACCACTTATACCTCAATCTATTACAGCTTCAATGAATGATAAGTTAATTGCACCAGTTGAGGAGGAGGAAGTGCGAGCAGCTCTTTTTTCTATGAACCCTAACAAAGCTCCTGGTAATGATGGCATGACCCCTCTTTTCTACCAGCATTTTTGGCCTGTTTTGAAAGAGGACTTATGTGCTGCAGTGGTAAAGTTTTTTGATTCTGGTAGAATGTTGACTAGTTGGAACCACACAGTTGTTACTCTCATTCCAAAATGTGAAAATCCTATCTCCTTAAATCATTTCAGACCCATTAGCCTTTTCTGTGTCACTTATAAAATTGTGGCTGAGATTCTAGCTACCAGACTGAGAGAGTGCCTTAAATTCTGTATTCATGAGACACAAGCTGCTTTTATTCCTGATCGACAATTGCTTGATAATGTGGTAGTAGCTCATGAGGTTATTCACTACCATAATAGACACAGAACTGGTGCTCAAAGTTTTATGGCTGTTAAATTAGACATGATGAAGGCTTATGATAGGCTGGAGTGGAATTGTGTGGTTAAAACTAAGTTGCAGATGGGATTCCATAGCTCTTTTGTTCAGTGGATATTTGCTTGCATTGCTTATGCGGTGTTCTCTTTTAAAGTAAATGGCAAGGTAACAGGATTTGTGACTCCTTCTAGGGGTATCAGACAAGGGGATCCAATCTCCCCTTACTTGTTTATCCTAATTTCTGAAGTGTTTTCAAGGTTGATCAGAAATGCTGTGAATGTGGGAGAGATGCAAGGGCTGAAAATTACTAGGGGTGGAACTACCTTGTCTCATTTGTTGTTTGCTGATGATGCTCTTCTGTTTTGTGGGGCTAACAGTAAAAATGCTATTATGTTTTTGAGAGTGCTTGCAGCTTATCAAAATTTTACAGGCCAGAGAGTAAATCTATCAAAGTCATCTGTGTTTTTTAGTAGGAATGCCAGTGAAGGGATCAAATCTGAGGTGTGTCAGGCTTTGAATGGGATTGATATATGCACATCCACTAGATATCTGGGATTGCCTATGGGATTGGGAAGATCCAAGAAGGAGGTGTTCCAATTTGTTCTGGATGCTGTTAAACAGAAAATGAGAAGCTGGAGCAATAGATTCTTATGAACTGCTGGGAGAGAGGTACTCTTAAAAGCTGTGATAAATGCTCTTCCAATTTTTGTTATGTCTTGCTTCTGTTTACCTGTTAGTATATGCAAAGAAATTGCTCAATTGAGTGCTGCTTTTTGGTGGTCTGGGAGAAATGATCAGAGGAGGGGTGTTCATTGGGTGTCTTGGAACAAGCTAACAGTTCCAAAGACTTCTGGGGGCTTGGGGTTTAAAGATGTCAGAATTTTCAATGATGCCCTTATTCTAAAACAGTTGTGGAGACTTCTGACAAAACCTAACTCTTTGATGACTAGAGTTCTTAAAGAAAAATATTTTCCCTCTGGTTGTGTTCTGGAGGCTAAAAAGAGTAGCTCTGCCTCTTGGTTATGGAACTCTTGGGTAACTGTGCTAAATCTGCATAAAGAAGGATTCAGAAGAGAGGTAAGGGATGGTTTAAATATTCAAATTTTATCACATCCCTGGGTGGCTGGCATTAAATCAGGTAAGCCTTCTTTGAGAGGTACAATGACAGATTTTTCTCTAATTTGGGTGAAAGAATTGTTGTCTGAGGATGGTTGGAGCTGGAATGTTGATCTGTTGAGGGAATTTTTTACCCCTGAATCTTGAAAAGCCATCCTTCAAATCAGGAATTTAAATCCTACAGAGAAGGATAGATGGGTTTGGGAAGCTGACTCTAAGGGCAAGTTTTCAGTGGCTTCTGCTTATTCTGTTGCTATTATGAAGAAGGTGCTCAGTTTGTCCATTCCAAGTGCTAGTTCTACTGCTCTTTGTGACAGAAAAGCTAGACAGAGATGTTGGCAATTGAAGGTTAAAGGTAAACTTAGGCATTTTATCTGGAGGTGCTTCACTGACAGCCTTCCGGTTGCTGCTAACTTAAGAACAAGGGGTATGTAGATTGATCATATTTGCCCTTGTTGTGGTGAAAGTGCAGAGACAGTGTTTCATGCTATGTTTTCATGCTCCAGAGCTGCCTTAGTTTGGAAACTGGCCCCAGTTTCTTGGGATCATGCTACAGCTCCTTTTTCAAGCTTCAAATCTTGGTGGTGGAACATTGCTGATATGAACAAAGCTGATACTTCTGAAGCCCGGATTCAACTGTCCACGTATATTTTGTGGTGGCTTTGGAAATCCCGTAATTTATGGGTGTTTCAAAAGGTAAGGATGTCAGAGACAATCATTCTTAGGCAAGCTGTGAGAGAATGGTCGGAATTTTGTGCTATTTAGTTTGGTCTTTGGTTTTTTAGTTTCGGTTTGTTGAGGCTAGGTCCTTTGGGTTTAGTGGCCTTGATTTGCTGTATTTTTCTTGTCTGTTTATGTTCCTGTGCTTATTTAGTTGTGGCTTCTGTTTGGTTGTATTGTTAGTGTATCTAGAGGGCCCAGATCTGTGCATTTGCCTCTAGATAAGTTTGGTCTGTTTGTTGTTTTCGTTGTGATTGGAGCTAGTGGGCTTCCCGGGTTGTAAAACAGTTATTTGGTGTTTATGAGATTTGTTTATCGTTTGAAAAAAAAAAGAACTTAACTCTATACAGCTAGAGTTCAAGTTCATACAACTAAGTTCACACTCATCTAGAGTTCAAGAACGTTTAAAAGCAGGAGGATAAATTCCTAAGCCCCGATTTCACTTCAATAGTCAATATTCAAGCTATGCACAATAATCTCAAAATCATTCAGGTACTCATACCTGAGCTGGCGCGACACGACGAGAGCGAGTGGTCATAACTTAGGGTCAAACACATAATCACATTAACCAGTCTGCAAAAACGTAGACTGACTCTGATACCAAAATGTAACGCCCCACTTTTATTTACCGAAAATCAGAATAAATTTTTCAAATTTACTTCAAAAACAATATTTGAGGCGCTACTCATTTTCAAAACAATAATCAATGCTCAACATTTTCTCAATAATCGATAATTATCAATACTCATAATCAATATGAAAATCCCAATAATCAATCATACTCCAATATTAATCCTAGGGAAATAAACCCTATCAATAATCCAATACTCCAATATTAGAAAAACAATAATCAATAATAATGCAATAATATCCAAGTTCAGTTCAAAGCGAAAGCATTTATATAAATTAAAGACCACCACTCGCATCCCTTCCGCCGTGCCGCATAAACTAACCTGTATCCATGAAGAGCAGGTGGGGATGAGCACAATAGGAAAGTCGAGGTGCTCACCGCTATGCAATAATTAAT